TAATTAGTTCAAACTTATTTTTTTAATTTTATAGATTACGAGAACGAGAGAAAGCAAGACAAAAACGAGCATTTGCTCGTGCAAACAATATAGATCTTGGGCCATCTAGGAAAGCTTTAAAGAGAAGTACAATGGCAGATAGCAGTTGTAAAATTGGAGTAACTATTGATTTGTCTTTTGATGATTTAATGATTGATAAGGATATTGCAAAATTAACTAAGCAAATACTAAGATGTTATACTTTGAATAGACGAGCTATTGCACCAATGCAATTTTCCCTTACCAGTTTTAATGGAAAATCTAAAGCAGACATGCAAAAGCATAATGGATATGAACATTGGGATGTATGTTCTTGTTTATTAAAATATTCTTATATTCTCATATTACAGATAGGTAAAAAATTTAGGATATTTTTTATAGTAGTTAAAATTTTGTTACATTATATTTATTTTCGAAAGATAAAAGATAAAAATACAGTAATTGTAATCTTCATTCTAACATTTATGAAATTTATGTTGTAGGTAAAATTTCATGCAAAACCATATTTAAATATTTATTTAAAGGAGAAAATTATATATCTTACTAGTGAGTCAGAAAATGTTATCAGTCATCTAGAACAAGATAGTGTGTACGTTATAGGTGGTCTTGTTGACCATAATAGTCATAAGGTAAGCTAAAATTTTAAGTTTGTATAAATCTTCTTACATATTTATATCTTTAGGGTTTTTGCCATAAATTAGCCAAACAAGCTGGAATAAGACATGGCAGATTACCTTTAGACAAATTTTTGCGCATGAAAGCAAGAAAAGTTTTAACTGTTGATCATGGTATGTTTGATACAAAACTAAATTAATTAATTAGATATAGCATATAAATTTTAAATATATGTACAAATCTTTTTAGTATTTGAGATTTTACTCAGAGTCAGTGAAGGAAAAACGTGGCAAGAAGCATTTTTACAGGTTTTACCAGAAAGGAAGAATGCGCAACCCATTGTACCATCAGTAGAAAATAAAGGTACATCAAACATTTATGATGAAGAGAAAAGCATTCTTCATGCAGATGATGAAATAAAATCAAAAGTTACAATTAATGAACTTGGAAACACTAATGGTGGTATATGTATATAACAAAAATATGTTGTAGATAACTAATTCTATTTTATTATTATAGTATGTTTTATAAAAAGTACATATGTGTACACTGATTAATGTACACATATATACAATACGAATTTTTGTTGCTAACAAATTAAACATTAAGTACATATAATTATGTGGGATTTAAAATGAAGTAACACACATCATAAAGCATCAATACAAATGATTTAAATAAATTAAAGATATTCGTTTTATTTAAAATAATCCAATTTACTTTAAAAATGATATCTCTTATGCAAAGTAAAAATAAGAAGGCAAAACGAAAATTGCAAATACATTTAAAAAAATATATAGATCAATTTTTTTCAAATTTTGCAGGAAAATTTTAAAAATATTGTTTCTATATTTGTGTACAATTTATATACATGTATCACTTACATCCATTTCTTTAGAATGAAATAGAAATAAAAGAATAAATTAGATTTATATAAAATTAATCATATCATTATCTCAATTATTATAATGTTATATTCCGTATATTGTAATAGAGTTATTCTGACTAGAAAATAATTATTTCTGGTATTCAAAAATTGATTAGATTAGAAGTCACATTATTTTTTAAAATACACAATTTTTTCAATAATAATTTAGTATTTCGTTCCATAATTTTTAATATTCATTATTTGTACACATTAAAGCTCATTTTTATACTTTACTAACATAAAGTACTACTTACGAAATAGTCAAATATTTTTTGCAAAATTTGGATAAAATTGACAGGACATTTTAAAATTTAGTATAAATTTTTGTATGTACATACTATTATCGACAAAATTATGTTTACATAAGTGGTATCATTTTTAATAGTAATCTTACAGGAAATCACGTTTAACTAATTATAAAATAGTTCAAAGTCGTTATATAGAAATCCTTTTTACTTATCAAAAAATTATTGCAAAGTTTCTTCATAAATGATATAACCAATTTCTATAGCTTAAGCTTTAAACAGAGTTTTAATATGAGATCTTTATAATCAATAAAATATTGATTCATGTACATTATTTACACTCTATTTAAAACTTAAACTGAGTTTGAAGAATTTAAACTATATGTAATTTAATCAGAACATAAAATAATATCTGAGTATTTATGCAATATTAAAAACTGATTTTTGATAAATTAAATTGTTTTTACATATAATTTTTGCAATATCAAAAACGGAGCAAATATTTACTATGATAATATTTATCCTTCTCCTACCTGCTGCGTAGTGGACATTGTAGTTTCTAATCTCTTAATTATAATTCACAGGTAACTATTTTCTGTGTGTGATACATATATACAAAACCATTTTTGGCCATGAAGGTCAAAACGATATTTAAATTGACAAATGTTATTTGTTCAATTTATCTCTTTCGTCAAAATTTTTTTTGATAGTTGAACTTCTATGTACACCAAGAATCGTTTGCATGTCATCAAAAATAAAAATTGAGATGATTCTCTTTGTTGCACATAATATGTACAATTTCATAAATATACTTTAGTATAAGTATACATCAATGTACCTACTGGGAAGCTATCATTCGCATAACATAAAAAGAAGTCTAATTCTCATTTTCAAATTTTCCAAAGTATCTAGAAATTTCAGGAAATAATCAGCATAGCATCATTTTTCTAATAATAAATGATTTTTTCCAATCTATTCAAAACAGTTTTATGTTAACTTTGCGTAAATATTTGTAAATAAGCAAATAGCTAAAGTGCAAACAAAATAATTACTTTAATTAGATTATTATTCGATTAAAATGTATTTAATGACATCTGTTGATTTAATTCTATTCTGCATAATAATAACTTCACAGCTCACATATCTGTTATTCTCATGCAATATCTAAATTGTCAATATCTTGACTGTCAATCATTTCAAATTCGCTACCACTTTCATCACTATGGCTAACTATTTTCCTTGATATAGGTTCAAGTTCTGCTTCTTCTTCAGAAGATGACCCTTTCTCAAAATGGCCTCTTTGAAATTTGATACCATCCACATCAGTTTCTTCAGCACTGAGCTCTAATTCAGAAACTTCTGCACCATCAGTACTTCCCTCTTCATGTGATGGCATTTTTAAACCCATAAGGTCTTCATCATTAAAAAATTCTGTTGTTAAAGAAATTTTATTTCTTATTTAAACAATTTGATTATTAAATAGGCATGTTAAATAGGTTTCAAATATTTGTTTAAACAAGTAATATTGAAAATTGCTAATACCAATAATACTGAATAATAGGCCATACCATTTTGAGCATCAAACAACACACTTGTTGGTGTTGGAGATTGATCCCCTGATTCTCCTGCTCTTGTAAGAACTTGAAGATTATCTTCAGTTACTGCTGGTAAAAATTCTTCAATTTCACTGTCCCACTCTGTATAAGAATGTAAATAAAGGTTCTAACTTATCATATGAATTACATTACATTTTATGCTTTAATTTTAATGCTGCAATGTCATTATTATTATTATTAACAAATATAAGATCCTTTGATGTTTGATATTATATTAATTACCTTTATGCAATATCATTTTGCTGGGTAGCTTTAATAACAATGCAGGTCCAAGTAAAATGCTCATACATATTGTATATGCAAGAAATACACCATTTACAGTATGACCAATTATCCATAGGCCCAAAGAAAACGAGCATACCGCAGTACAAAACTGAAATTATTTTTAGTTTTTAAATCATAATAGCCTTTAAATTGGAAAAATATATTTAAATCAAATACAATTTAAACATATTTAAGTATATTGAATCTTATATTTTATATCAAATGTAGTAAAATTTATATGCATTAGCTACATTTAAGCATGTTTTCTTTTTGTTTACAGATTGTGAGATATCTAATCAATCAATGTAATTTTACCACTCCTGGTTGATCTTTCCTCAATTGCTTCAAACTATAAATGGCTGATTTTATTTTTCTTCCTATTTTTTCAATTTGTTCTGCCTTTGCATCAGATCTATAAAGATATCATAAAGTTGAACTGAATTAACTGTAAATATATACAGTAAAGCTTCTCACAGTGGGTAGAGGAAGGTTTGGGAAGAGGAAACACTGTTTTCGAGTCTCACAGCTCGCCTTTGTATGAAATGAGAGACAGCGCAACCAAGCGATTTAAACATCAGCGTTTTTATTTTTAACTTTTTCTGTATGAAAAAGTTAATAATATATTAATGAGATTGTTCTGATCAAAATTAGACCAAACACGATATAATTTGAACAACATTTACTTATTAATACTTATTGAGCGATTAATTTCATTTCATAATATATCGCTTTGAATGAATTACAAAACTGGATTGCTAGAAAAATATTGTCTAGCAAAGCAAACCTGAAGTCTCTGACGTCATCGCCTGGCCAGATGAAGGCGAAATAGGCGGGTCAGGTCATCCTCACTACTCTTGGGCCTTACACTGCCGCCGCTTGAGGGGAAGTTGCGTTGTAGGTAAATGGTATAGACAAATGAATTTCAGTCAGCTGTCGATAATGTGGCACGCTGATAAAAGAACGGAAGACTAAAAATTATTTAGTCACCTTGTCTTCTTACCTACGTTAGCGCGTAAGATACATATTTAATAGCGCAGACGTTATAATCAATACATGAAATATCTGTACACATTGTCCGTTGAATTTAAGCTGTGTCAGTAGGCACGGCTTACGCTTTGCGGACAATATAGAGGGAGAGACACCGTTGGATGAATACTGTGAAGGGAGAAGCACTGTTTGGTGGACACTGTGAAGGGAGAGTTTAAGTTTTACGGACAGTGTGGGGAAATATGTTACATTCGAATAATTTATCAAAAGCTTGTAGCGAAAAAATATTTTGATAAATTTTGCTGAAAAATGCATAATAGAAAAGTTGTGAAAAATAAAAAAAAACGTTGAAAAAATTTTAAAAACTTTCAAAAATTTTGTTGAGCTGAAATACGTAATTTTTATCAAAATATATCTTCACTACTTGAGCCGTGAAATCTCCTCAAAAGAACCGCGCGCGTAGCCGTTGCACGCTTGACTGACTGCGAGTAAGATAACATAGGCGTAGCAATAACGCAGACCTAGGCGTGGGACTATCAGTATGGATACTGTGAGAATCCAAACTGGTGAACACTGTGAGAGGATTTACTGTAAGTACAATTTTTTGGAATTCTAACACTTACGCAGCTGTATCCAATGCTTTATTTTCTTTTTGAGCTTGGGCTTCCAAGGTACGGCACCAGAGGACAACGACCACTGCAACACTACTGGCTGCAGCAAAGTCACGAACCTCTAATACAATAATACCCCTGAAAGAAAGCATAAAACAGTTAACGTTATATGTACAATAAATTTATACATTTTAAAATGAAATATCTTTCAATCTGTGAAAATATACAATTATTAAAAAAGTGTACTTAATTTTCTTGTTTTGATGGTTTGAATAATTAAATATATAATCAAATATACTGACTAATAGATAAATACTTAATTTACGTGTAACATGAGCTGGTCGATGTTTAATCGTAGGATACTTATTAACTGTCAACACGTACTGCCATCTAGAATAGTATTGTAAATCTGATAGGAAAATATGCAGAGAAGATGCAATTCATTCGGCAAAGGAAATATGAATATCATGAATAAGTATAATTGTGAAGAAAGGCGATTTTAGAATGTATGTATATTGCTTAGAACAGAGGAAACCCATCAATGACCGCTTATATCAACTTACTCTTGTAGTATGCGTAAATAACGTCATGTAATTGACGTTCTTTATTCGCTTATCGGGAAGAAACACGTACGAAGAAACGTAAAGCATCAACAGTGCTTGAGCATTGATACTGTTCTTTGCAACTGACATCAAATGCCGAAACACATACGCTTCAACAAACCTTGACCCAGAACGCGGATTACTTACGAAGCATTAGGAGATAGTTGAATGTCTCGCATTATTTTTTTTTAAATACGAAATCCTCAATTAAGTATCATTATTGTAGATTTACTTGTCAAAAAGGAAATAGAAAATGTTAAGTATCAAATTGTACATCAAGAAGGCACACGTTACTTCTCGCTTAGCATTGCGTTAAACGTCACAAGGTTCTCACACTATAAGCTAAATGTAGTTAAAACTTAACGGGTTGCACAATGAAAACAATAATCACAGATTGATCAAATTTCGCAAAATCACGCATAACAGTATAACTTTGAAATGACACATACCATTTCACAGTGGACAGACTCACCAAAACAGTATGTTGAATACGATGACGACGGAGATACTGTTCACAGAGTTCTCCCAAAGAAGAATACTCTCCAGAATGTCACAAAGTCGTCTCGAGGCTTCGAAATTGCATCCAACATTCCGATACTGTTCAACCTCAAAAGTCTTACGCTTGTCCTCGGCAGCCACCTCATTTGTATCACGAGGTGTCGCGTTTCTCATCCATCGAAAATAACATGCCACTCTCGAAAGCCGTTCCATGACAGTTCCAGGTCGACGTTGACTGCTTTTGTCGTCCTAATTCCCGTACTCCTTTGGCATGGTACACCCTCGGAAGACTGTGCGGGAGTATTTTTAGCGCGTGACAACGAGAGTAAGACTTTTGAGAACGAACGAGCAACCGCGGGGGTTTCTTCAGCTTTACCTCGAAGAACGGAGTGAGAAAGAAGGAAAGGCAGAGAGAAAGAAAGAGACTGATAGAACAAAAAAGAAAGAACAGAAACTGAGAAAGATAGATAGAAAGGAATATAAACGAAAGGATGGATTAAGCTGTGACCAAGCTGACAAAGAACAAATGAGTGGAACGTGAATGAAACAGAGAGAGAGAGAGAGAGAGAGAGAGAGAGAGAGAGAGAGAGAGAGAGAGAGAGAGAAGGGGGGACGAAGCAGGAAAAAAAGACGTTGATGAAAAAGAGACGAGATATAGGGACTGATTCTATTACCCTCGCGATATTTCACGTTCGTTCTTCTGAATTTTATGAATACCTTCTTCCGAGTCACTCGCTCCTTTCGTCCTTTTTGTTTTTCTTTCCCCCCGGAAATACTAGTCGCGGTGCACAGCTAACGTTGTCTCTTATCGCGCAACTGACGTATGTACGCGCTCGAGCGTATTCCACATACCCTACCTTCACCTACTGCAAACACGTGACGGCTGCGACACGAGACTCCGTTGCACATCGGACAACGTGCAATGAAACTGCGTAAATTCTTAAATTTTGATCGTGTTGACAATATTTAATATAATATAATATCATATTTTATTTTATTTTTAATAAAATAATTTAATTGGATTTTTAGTTTCGACTTAGTTTCCATCTGTTTTGTCGTTCATATTAAAAATTGTGCAATTCTCATGAACTTACATTGTGTATTTTATAAAGAAAATGTTGTGTTTTCTTTATTCTTTTATATTGTAAAATTGTATATTTTATTTTTACTGATTGCAAGAAGGTTATTTTGAAAATATATTTTTTATCTTATGGAATTGAACAAAATTACGAAATAATGCGTTTATAGAAATTCTCTAGGAAAATCAATGGTTTAAACTTTCCCGCTGTGATTGTGTGTCAGCATATTTTACACTTGATAGATTCATAACAAAAAATATTACTATTCCAATGCGGTACATATGTATGTTATTTTGAAACAGTATGCCCTGCCGTTCTTTTTGTGAAATTATTCAATGAATTTACAAATAGGAAAACAGTTCAACTAGATGTTAGATTGGTTAGTCACGCGAAGTTGTTCTTTTTTTTCATCAATTAAATGGTATTATTGCCACATGTTAAAATCTTGTCTGGTAATAACGTCTTTACTCTACTGTCGTTCTCTAATCATTTCATTCTACTTTAAATTACGCGAGGTCAAGCTGTTTTAGGTTTTTACTTTTACTATATCAGTAACGTTGCACATCGTCAAGCACCCTGTTCTTGGAAATTTCGTGATATATGTGTTATATTTTATTAAATAACTTAATCGATGCGTTTAGTTCTACTATTGTGTAAATAAGTTTTATTACCAATTTTTTAATCACTGTGCAAAGCCAAAGAAAATGACAATAGTAAATTACTTAAAATTATTAAGTATTACAAAGTATTGTATTTGAAAGAACATTTTGAAAAGAGTCGTAAATGAAGCTACATTAAAATATTCCGCTTTTTTAGTTATGTACATTTAAAATTCTAATGTTGAAAGGTTAAGGACATTCTACAAGTGACTGTGTTTTCTCGATTTGACAATTATTCGATTGTATTGCAAAATCGTGAAAAATTTGTCCTGTATAGATTGTCGTTATCAGTAAATCTACATAAAATATTACTGATTAAAATTAATACAAAATAATAATTAGTTTACTGATTTCTTATGATGGCAAATTATGTAACATATATATTACAAAGTGA